TTTTTTTTTTACCGTTGTCATTGCTTTGTTTTTGTAAAATTAGACAGTTATAACTGGACGACTTGTAACAAAGTCTACATAAACATTCATACTAAATGCCCCAAACTAAGGCTGAACTCCACTAGTATACTGCCTGGCCTCAACGAATCAAATGAATAGATGTCTTAATTCAGGTCTAGATCAGGGTTAAGCCAATACTTCATTAAACTACAAAATACACTGGAAACTTTTTGGCCTAAGATTCAAGAAAAGTTCAGCTCCAAAGCAAGGTACAGCTTTGCTTCTTCCAGAGGCAAAGCTGAACAACGCCACTATCTATAAATCCTACCGAGAAAGCAGGAGCCTAATAAAATGTACCTCTGTACTAGAGATGGCAGCATGATCCTAGTGAAATCCAAACAAAACTGCCGGAAGGATACAGGCTATCAAATTCATTTACACACACCTTCCTCCCAGGAAAAATGGAAGGGGGTATACCAAACGATCAAAGAAGTTGTAAATTAAAAGACAGGAGGGTTGTCCAAAGAGGAGTCATTTATCACACGCGGATGAAGTAGCCTCAGCTGCTTTCTGAAGCCACACAATGCCTCTGTTGTAATACGGCCAAAGAATGAGCCAAGAGTCCTATTTGGCATCTGACAGAACACAGAATAAACTTTAGAAAATACCACTCTGGAGGACTTATTGTAATTTTAATACTTTGTCCACCAAGGTGTCCATTTTATATGTCAAGATCATTAGTGTTACCCAGCACAGCCACAGACATTGGTTGGGGTGAGGTGCTGAAAGGTCAGGTGGTGTAATAAAAGCTTATTTATCACCAATTTTTGAGTTCTCTGGTAACTGAGGGAACCCAAACACCCCACTAGGTTACTGGATGAAAACTGCTGAGAGAACCATAATTTTATGGGTTTCCCTTTAAGTTTAAACTATAAGAAATAGACTCTCCTCAAAGTTATGCCCCCTTTAAGGAGCTATTATTAAGAAATAAAGCCACCTGGGTGGCTCAGTCAGTTGAGCATATTGAATCTGGCTGGGGTCACGATCTCACGGTTCATGAGATTGAACCCCACATCGGGCTCTGTGCTGACAGCATGGAGCTTGCTTGGGATTCTTCTCTCTCTCTCATCATTTCTCTCTGCCCCTCCCCCACTCACGCACTCTCACTCACCCTCTCAAAATAAATAAACAAACATAAAAAAAAAGAAGACGTTCTTGGCATATACGATTACAAAAATGAAACTAGAATGTTCTTTAGAATACTTACCATTTTTTATTTGAACGCAACTGTGACATCTTCGGGCTGCAGGAAAACCTGCCAAACACATGAACACAAATATCCCATTATCCACAGAAAGAATAGAATAACGGTGATGTGCCACGGTGAAAGACACCCTATGAGTAACTTACTTAAAACAATCCCTTTGTTGCATTAAGCAACCATTGATTAGTCCCTCCAACCCTTCCTTTTTTCACATTAAATTAAAGCCACCGGAGTCCCATCGTAACTACAATGCTCAGGTGCCAGGGGAACAAAACGGGGTTACTAATGGCCTTCCCAAGCCCTTATGCGCACAAAAAACAGGTGGACCTTGATTCAAAGTGCCTGCTTCCTAACCCACCCACATCTCCCTATTTCCACAGAACTCAACAATCCCCATTAAAAGTCTCTGCACAATTGCGGAGGAAGCATAATTGGGCTAAGGAATAAAATAAGTTATAATACTAGTACAACAGATATTATACTTGTCATATAACTCAAAAAAAGCTCTTTTTCTCTTCTAAAATAAGTAAAAATATAAAGCATAGTTATTAAAGAAAAATGAATCAATAATTTAAATTTACCTATTTTTTCGTGGGGTTTTGTGGCAATTTCCTCCCATGCATTCGTTTCAAGGTTGTATGCATGGATCTTGGGGAGAAAAAGAGAAGATACACACACGTAAATAACTTTAGCTTATTTTTTTAGAGAAAGAGTGTGTAAGTGGAGGAGAGGGGCAAAGGGAGAGAGAGAGAATCTTAAGAAGGCTCTGTGCTAAGTGCAGAACCTGATGTGGGGCTCGATCCCACAACCCTGGGATCATGACCTGAGCTGAAATGAAGAGTCAGACACTTAACTGACTGAGCCACCCAGGCACCCCTGAAAACTGAATTTTTAACAACAACCTGTATAAACATGTATTCTTGGTTGAAAAGTCTTCGTTTCGGGGCGCCTGGGTGGCACAGTCGGTTAAGCGTCCGACTTCAGCCAGGTCACGATCTCGCGGTCCGTGAGTTCGAGCCCCGCGTCGGGCTCTGGGCTGATGGCTCAGAGCCTGGAGCTGTTTCCGATTCTGTGTCTCCCTCTCTCTCTGCCCCTTCCCCGTTCATGCTCTGTCTCTCTCTGTCCCAAAAATAAATAAACGTTGAAAAAAAAAAAATTAAAAAAAAAAAAAAAGTCTTCGTTTCTTTTGCTTTTCTCTGATTTTCCCTAATACTAATATTAAGGCAAAAAACATTAAATGAAGCAGTTGAAAACTAGCAGATATAGGACTCCAATTTTTTAAAATCACAGAAAAAAAACGAAGTAAAAAAGTTGGAATTCTACAACTACCACATTTTTCGCAATGAACGTGTGTATCATTTTTTTTTATACCAGAAAAAAGCAACTGTTCATAAGAAGATATGAGAATGCAGTTTTGACAAAACTTGAAAAAGATCAATAAGGTTCCAAAGCAGACCAGGAGCTCTGTAGCCTAATCTAGATTTTTCCCTGGGAGATGTGCATTTAGGAATGCCATAGGAATGGATGAATAAAAACCTTCAGAGTACAGCTTTCTAAAGTGAGTGACGCAGAGCCCTAAAAATACTGTTCTTTTTAGACATCTCACTGATGATGAGAGAGATTCTGCAGGACGTTCTGAGCAACGTGGCTCCAGTTCTCATCGGTTTCTCCATTTAAGCTACTGTGTCCTCCTTTTGGTCTCTTTCCTCATCCAGTTTGTGCCAGGATTCGTTTTCATGTGTTTTTAGTGTGTGATCACTACAACTGTCAACTGGAAAGTGTAACAGAGGCATAGTTCGGCCTTCTGTTACGAAGAGCAGGTAACACACAACAGGTGTTAATGAAGAACCTGTCCAGAAATCTAAATATCTACAGTAACAGAATTATCTTGCTTGGTATGAAACATGCCTCTTCCTATCCTTCTCTCTCTCTCATTATTATTATTTTTAAATATACCTTGTTTAAGGAATAAGCTGTCCAGGAAGTACCACCTCCCAAGATGTAAATCCTCTGCCCATCATGTGCAATTTCATGTCTGTATCTGAAAATACACAATAAAATCCATTTATAATAAAGTGAAAAATTATCTACCTAAGATTTAGCTACAGGATATTTTTATTGGATAATTATTCACAGTAATAAGTTATTAGAAATAACCTAAGTGGTCAACAAGAGTGAATTGATTCAACAAATTATAGAATATATATAAAATGGATTAGTATGCATCCAATAAGAAAGTAGGTGTAGAGGATGGTTAATATATTGGAAACTTCTTTTCGTGTCATTAACTAAAAAAAAAAAATGCTCTCATGTAAGAGCAGATAGGCTATAATCTCATTAAAAATTTATAGTTACACAAATACGCACAGAAAATGACTACAGAGATACATCCAAAATGTTAACCCTGGTTATCCCTAGATTTAGGTTTTGTTTTTTTATTTTCTTCATTTTGCTTATCTGTATTTTCCAGATTTTCTAAAAAGTGATCTGTCTACATTTCATTAGAAACCCTAGACTATGCGCTTTTAAATGAAGATACTTATTTAATAGATACAAAGATATCAGAAAAATTATGCTACTCAAAACTGTGAATATAATGTGAAACACCTACCAGAACTTTCATCCAAGCAGTCTAGCTAGAAGCTGAAACAATTTATAATATGTCCATAAAATGATTCAAGAAGGCAACCATGTGAAAATGCTTTGAAAACTTAATCTATTTCCTCCTTTCCCTGAAGGCCCTGGTGCTGATAAAATAAATTACATCAAAATTATTCCAGTAGCGGTCCACCTCCCAAGTCCTCACACGGTAGTTCTACAATCATCAGCCCACTGACATACTGCAAAAAAGATAAAGTCTTCCTTAGCACCTCTATGCTATTTTGTTTAAAGGAAACAAAGAGTTAACTGCATTCATCTGAACAGAGTGAATAAAAAAATGTTTGCTGTCTTTGCATTTAATGTGTATTTTTTTAAGTTTATTCATGTAAGTAATCACTACACCCAACATGGGGCTTGCACGCACAGCCCTAAGACCAAGACTTGTGTGCTCTTCTGAGCCAGCCACGTGCCCCCACTGTCTTTACTTTTAAACAGGAGGGGAAGAAATTAAGTTTTTCATAGAGCTTACTGCTAAAAGGCAACTCCTATCAGGAAACAAAAGTGAAAGGCCTACACCTGTTCCTAGAAGGCAACTAGGAGCACCATGTGATGTTTGCGTGCTTAACAGGGCACTTAAAATCAGTGGCCTCCCTCCCTCCTTTCCATCCATCCATCCGATCAATATTCATTGAGTACTACTATGGGAACTGATGCCACGGGCACTGCGCCTTCTTCTGGGTATACAGCTGGGAGCAAATGAGCCAAAGAATCCTAATATGCTAGTTAAGAAGGGAAATCAAAAAAGTAACTAGAAAGTAATTGTTTTGTCTATAACATGATATTTAATTACAATTGCTACCACTGGTTTCTTCTTCAAAGTGTTACTATCTTCTTAATGCAGAAAAACTGAGGTATGAAAGAAAATAACATGAGGAAAAAATCTATAGTTAATGGAGAAATAGCACTCCTTAACCAGAAGACCTTTCTTTAATGCTGAACTGGCATCTACCAGCCAGTTAGCTATTTTAACCAGGCTTTAAGAATTTTCTTTAAACCATATTACCAATATTCTGAATAGAGTCAAATCTTAGCAAGAATGAATAAATATGCTTTAATCCTAGAACCTTACCTCTCTTCTGGCAGATCACAGGATAGGTTGTTTGGTTTCAGTTGTGTCCACTCTCTGGTATTGAGATCTAATTTGTGCAGATCTGTGCTATAAATATAGCCAGTTGTCCCTCCAAAAACATAAAGGGAGCCATTGATGATCGCCATGGCCTGGAAAACAAGGAAATGTGAACACCACTGACTCATGAACACTTTGTTAAAGAATGTAAACTTACTAAATACCCCAAAATCAGACTTTATGAAATTCTTTTGTACTTTTCAACCTTCTAGAATATCAGATGTTTAAAGGATTAAAGATTTTAGAGAACCCAGAGATTACTTTTAGAAAGGTAGAGCTTTGCTCAACTGGAAAGCAGTCCTACCTAGATAGGCAAGAGGACTGGATGTTCCTTACGGGTCTTAGCCAACCCAAGAATGTATATACATCGGGGGCATTAGCATTTCCATGCAAAGCTGCTTCTCTTTCTAAGCAGTATGAAGAAAACTGCTCTAAGAAGAAGAAGCAGATATGAAAATAAGCCACCAGAACTCCTTAAGTAAAATGTCTAGAGTTAGCAGTCATAAAACTTCACATTTTCCACCAGATTCTTCTTTAGCATAAGCTCAGCTTTTGTTATGATCATGTTATCAGAGTTTAAATGCCTCCTGTGGTGGGATAGAGTTATCTAGTGTGTGCCTCTACACATAGCTCAGAAGGAAGGTATTTACCAGTACGAAAGCTGGCCAGCTGAACAAGAAGCCAAAGCTTAGCTGTTTTAAGCTTAGTCCATTACTTTCAAAGGGTCTCTGATGCTGGTAGGTCGCACCCTATCTTTTTGGATATAACTTTTCAAACCTATGATTTGAAGCACGGCAATGTAACTAGAAACTCATCTCCACATAATCTGTGTTTTAGCTCAGATCAGTCTTATAAAAGTCTTGTACCAAAGTGTGGAGATCACCTCCTCTACTACTTAGGTTAGAAAGCTCTCCACAGAATCGCATTGTTCTAAAGGTGGCAGCGTGCAGACCATACGTAGAGCCCAATCTCTCACTGGAGGTGGGGGTGGGGATGTGGTGGGTCCTGACACTGAAAAATACTTCTGTATAGATCTAGATCACGATGCCCAATTGGACTAGAAACAAAGAGTGAGGGAAAAAAAGGAAGGGAGAAGGCGAGCAACCAGATTTATAAATTACAACTTCTTATCAGAACTGAAAAATCAAATATTAACCCCAGTGAATTTATTCTCTGTTAAAAACATGGAAAAAATTATTCTGACATTGTCCCCCAAACTAGAAAAATCTGCAGAAATACATCCACCGTGACTGGCCACAGATTGGTACCTGTCCATATATACGACTGGGTTTCTTCCCACGACAGCTAAGTAAAGCCCATCTCTTATACTTCACGTTACACACGTGGACATCATTGCCGTTGCTCTCGCCAAATGGGATGCCTGTACCTCCGAATACCAACAGGTTGTTTCCATGCAGCACAACTGGGGAAGGAGAAGCACAAATTCCATTTACGTACTGGCTACCTGTAATATGTTCCCACATAAACCCAGAATCACTGAGAAACTGGGGGAAAAAAAAAGCCTGCTTTAATGCTCTCAGAAGATAGCCCAAACCACTGACATCTAACTACTACAAAGTACTGCAGAAAAAGGTTTAATTCACACTCTATGGACTGTGTCATGTAGCCAGCTCATTGTTAGGTGTGTGACATGTATTCAATGTGTATTTGTGGAGTTCATGAAATACTGTGGATAATAATACTAAATGACATGAACCACTGCCGCTCAAGGCGGTTCAAGTACGCAGTAAGGCAGAGGAACATGAAGTATTATCTTTGTCTTAGCAAAGGCCCAGCAGGGCTCTGGATGAAGGGATAAAATGATCATTCTGTTTTTGCCAGGGGAATGAATGATCTCTACATTTTAAATTATGGTTTCTGTCACCTTAATCCTCCACCAGATAAAAAGAAACACCAATATCCTGCTGGTACCTTTGGTGTTCTTCTCTAGATCTCTTCTGTTCCTGCCACACACACACACACACACACATTCTTTCTCTCTGATGACAAATGCTCCCAAAATAGTGCTACTGTATTATTTCAATGGCATTTCTTTTCTAAAATCAATTATTCAGTTAATACAGAATAAGAATCAGCATGGGCTCTGAAGCCAGCTAGAGCTAGGTTTCAATTCTCATGTGACCTCAGGAAAGTTATTTAATCTCCAAATTAATCCTCACAACAGCCCTATGAGGTGGGAACTAATCTTATCTTCTCCATTTTTATAGCTGATGAAACAAGTGGAAAGTGGTTTAACCTTGTTGAACGTTTCCCAAAAAGAATCTTGCCAAGCTAGGATTCAATTCCAGGCAATCTAACTCCAGAGCCTGCACTCTTAGCCATTTCCTTAGGGCATCTCTGTAGCCTCAGTTTCTCTTTTTTTTTTCCCTTCCAAATTTTGATTTAAATTCTAGTTAGTTAACATATAGTGTAATACTGGTTTTGGAATAGGATTTAGTGATTCATCACTCATATATAACACCCAGTGCTCATCTCAACAAGTGCCCTTAGTACCCATCACCCATCTAGTCCACCCCCCCCCACTCACCTCCCTCCATCAACCCTGTTTGTTTTCTATCATTAGGAGTCTCTTGTGATTTGCTTCCCTCTTTTCCCCCGCTTCCCATATGTTCATCTGTTTTGCTTCCTAAATTCTACATGAGTGAAATCATATGGTATCTGTCTTTCTCTGACTTATTTCATTTAGTATAATATACTCTAGCTCCATCCATGTCATTGCAAATGACAAGATTTCATTCTTTTTGATGGCTGAGTGATATTCCATTGTGTGTGTGTGTGTGTGTGTGTGTGTGTGTGTGTGTGTGTGTGTGTGTGTACCACATCTTGTTTACCCATTTATCAGTCGATGGACATACTTGCGCTCTTTCCACTCAGTTTCTCATTTGTACAATGGCAGTAATTCTAGTTTGTGCATTATACAGATGTCATTAGGTAAACAGATACTACACGTGAAGTACTTTGTTCAGAAGCTATCATTGCCATTATAAGCCCCATCTGTTGATCTTCTACTACATTGTGCTTAGCATACATACATATATATGAACCTTTATACTGAACCCACTGAGATATCACTAATCCCAGTTTACAGGTAAGGAACTTGACGCTAAAACTCATCAAGCAAGCAAATGGTACACAGCTAGATTTAAACTCAGGACTATCCAACTGCCAAGTGATTCTGAATCACCATGCTATATTATTACCATAGTGAAAAGTCTACCCATTAACAGGGTTTAATCATATTACAGCATTATTATAAATTACGAACAAAAAACACACGGCACTAAACCTGTTCTCACAGACATTGCTTAATTATGAAAGAGTCAAAAGTTCAGGACAGCTTGCACTCACGTGACATAGATGCCAATTCCCGGGGCATGTAGCCATCTGTGCCCATCTGGTGCCATACTCCTGTAGCAAAATGATACCTCCAAAGCTCCCTGAAGAGAGGATAGTCTTCATTATCTGGCCCTCCAGATTCATCGTAATCTGGGTTATAACCTCCAAACACATAGAGGTTGGTATTATCTGCCACACAACGATGTCCACTTCGTGCTGGTGGAGGTCTGTGGCCTAGGAAAGAAGAGGACAGTCTTCCACAGATGGCCAAGCAGATTAAAAACATAAACAAAATTTGGTCATAATCATTTTAGCTTTAAAAGGGGATGGGGAAGATTTATAACGTGGATTTACTTTTTATTTGCTTAGGTTATTTTATACGTTCGCACATACTACTTAAGATAATTTTAAGGAGCTAGTCTCCATTTGTATTTCATACAACTACTTTCAGATTTTGGAAACTGTAAAAAAATTTTTTTCCAAGGGAGGAAAAATAGCATTATAAACTCAAGAAAATGGCTGACAACTTGAAATTTGCAAGAGAAGGAGGAGGGGTTTAATAATCCAAAAGCTAACAGGACAAATTTTCTTATTTCCTTAGAGGAGAACAAAAACACAGGCCAACTAAATTAAACTGAAAATATTAGAGAACTACATAAATATAATCACAAATGTGAATGAGTCATGTATAAATAAAAATACACACACATAAAACCTATGATTTGTCCACAGTATATAATTACACACTTAAAGAGAAAACTGGCTTTCAAAGAGTTATAGCAAAATTTGGAATTTAAATCCCACTCCAGACATTATGGCAGTCAACAAAAAATATCCTTATACTTATCTCAAAGAGCATCTTTCACCCTATTAAGAGCTTCACTAAGGAAAGCTATTTCTACAATTGATATTTGAAAGCTTTCTGAAGCTTTCTGTAATTTCTGAAATTATATCACCTAGTTCACTAAAAACGACTTCAAGATTATTTTAGAGTAAAAAAAAACTAAAATTTTATATTGTTTCTATTATCCTTACAATTGTTTATACCAGTCTACACAAACCCTTACATAGCTATAGAACCAAAGATGCTTAAACAACATATTGGATAGAATAAGAAGCTACTATAGTTGTCTGTTACCTTAAAGACTTATCTAATTTCTTATATTAGGAATAGGCACTAGTATAATGTTAATTAATATTTAGGACGATGCTGGGCACCTAACAAACTTCTGTAATATAAATAAACATTTATTATCAACCTAACATAAGCCTTATATATATATATTCTTAATCAAAATCCCACTTCCTAAGGTATAGTTTTAAATAAGAACTGAAAAGAAATTGCACAGATCTAAGAGAAACTAAAAAACTAATGAACCATGAATCACCGAATCACTCAACTCCGACCTGTTAGTCCTGCTTGAGAATCTTTGACGGTTCCTTCCTGTTCAAGTACGGAGTGTTCAACTAGTGATTTAGGGCCTCTGATGACCTAACTTTGTCCTGATCTCTCACACTCCTGCCTGTTTAAGTTTGTCTCGCTGCTTGGAAAGGCGAGTACTTCCCTTAGACCTTGGCCTGGCCTCCTACCCTTCAATGCCTACTTGTGGAAATGCCTCCAAGTCCAGCCCTTACAGCTTTCTCACCAATAAAACCCTAGGGCCCTTACAGTTCAGCACCCTACAATTCAAATGATAGGATATGCACTTTCTATAAGATTATGTAAACACATGATTATATTAGGCAATCTAGAATCAGTTAGAAAATTGACTCATGAGCCGTGATTTACCTCAAGTGAAGAACTCAATTTCTCTTTCTAGGAATCTTGAAATACAGAAAGTGTGGTGTGGAAGAAAGAGCAAAGGCTCCTACAAATATCCAGATTTGAATCCAGGTTTTTTTCTAACTGCTACCTTGAGCAAGTCACTGACCCTCACTGAGTCTCAGCTTCCTCATCTGCATAAGGGGATATTATTCTTGTACCTCACAGATTTTTCATACTGCTATTAAAATGTTTATTAATAAAGTTTTATTTTAATGTTTATTTATTTTTGAGAGAGAGAGACAGAACGCGCCCGAGCAGGGGAGGGGCAGAGAGAGAGGGAGACACAGAAACTGAAGCAGGCTCCAGGCTCCGAGCTGTCAGCACAGAGCTTGACGTGGGGCTCAAACTCATGAATTGTGAAATCATGACCTGAAGTCAGGCACAACTGACTGAGCCATCCCAGCGCCCCTAAAATGTTTATTGGTTTATATATGAATCTTCAACGTATCTGCAAGCTATTTGAAGAGAGAGAAATGTACTTGTATTCATCTTTCTAGCACCAAGCCTAAGGCACACAGAAAACACTAAACAAAAACTTACAAATTTAATTCTTCTCTACTCATTTTGTTAATGTTTTTCTCCTCCCAATAGGTTATAAGCTCCTCAAGGGGAAAGGTCATGTATAACAATTATTCTGTACTACCTCTAACACCTAAAACAGCTGGAGATATTTAAGGCACTAGAAGTTTCACTGATTTTAAGTCAGAGTAAACAATGACAGGGACGCTCAAAACAGTACAGCTCTCAGTGGACATTGATATAATTATACTTAAGAGATATACGATTTGGGGGGCAGGAGTTGGGTTATACAACAGTCTTCTCAAAATATAAATGTTTCTAAAAATTAGTGACACAAATTTAGGGGCACCTGGGTGGCTCAGTCGCCCGAAGTCCGACTTCGGCTCAGATCGTGATCTCACAGTTCATGAGTTCAAGCCCCACACTGGGCTCACAGCTGTCGGCACAGAGCCAGCCTCAGGTCCTCTGTTCCCTTCTGTCTCTGCCCCTCCCCTGCTTGTTCTCTCTCTCTGTCTCAAAAATAAATAGTATTTATTAAAAATAAATATTTATTGAAAATATGTATACTTTTAAAATATATAAATAAATAAAAATTAGTGAGGCAAATTTAAAGAAAAAACAGAATTGCTGTGGTCAGCAGATGGGAACTCTAAGAATGTCTATAACGTCACTCACTTTATTACCTATAGTCAACAATTTTTTAAAACTGCTTTTGGACAGAAAGGACATACAGTCTATTCTAGGATTTTCTCTAAATGGCTGTACAGCAGATACTCCATTATAAGTTTATTGACAACTATTTTTGTGACAACTATAACTCAAATGTATTAAAGGTTGAGGAGTTAGTGAAAAGACAGTTTTAGATTTATCCACTCGTTCATTAAGCCAAAAATCTTATCAGATACTTGCTATGTACCAGGTACTGTGTAAGATGCTGCGGATACAGCAAAAGAGAATGGAGATACCATCACCATTTCTGTCCTTTAGAGCTTGTAAAGGCTAGTCCTACACTGTCCAATGCAGTAGCCACTAGTCATATATTAATGTTGAGCATTAATTAAATCAATCAATTAATTAACCAACATTAATGTTGAAATGAGGATGGTCCAAACTGAGATATGTTCTAAATGTAAAATGCCCACTGGATTTCAAAGACTTAATATCCAAAAATGAATGTAAAATTACAAATTTTCGTATTGAATACATGTTGAAAAATTTTTTATATCCTGAGTTAAATAAAAGTATTATTAAAATTAATGTTGCCTGCCTTTTACATTTTTATTTTTATTTATTGCTTTGAAATTTAGAAACAAATTTTATTTAAGATCTGAAATACAATTCCTAAAATATCAACTTCTCCAGAAAACCGTGGCTACACAATGCATTGCCTCTATCATGTTAGAACGTGCATTAGACTCAAATACAAAAACCATGAAACAAACCACCATCCTTCAACAATTTGAGCAGAGAACGCCTAAGGAACAACATAGATGGACTTGCAGAGGATGGGCTGTTTTACTTCAAGCACCATAAAAAAAAAAAAAAAAAAAAAAAAAAAAAAAAAAAAGAGCACAAATGGCCTTTTACATTTTTAATGTGGCTACTAGAAATTTTTAAATGTTGTGGTTCACGTAACATTTCTATTGAACAGGGTTGGTCTAACTCAATTGCTGGCTTTTGTAAGTAATTTCATTATCTATGCAAATTAAACTGCTGGGTAAAGAGCATCTGATCAATTTTTGATAAATATTAAACATCCTGTCAAGAGGTCTGATAGCCAGGAGTGAAGAGGTTACTGTTCTTTCTCTTTGGTCAGTAACTAGAGATTTCTTTGTACATATTTATAGCCCAAGAGTGACTAACATATCAGAAAGTCAAATTTTATTTTGAATAAATCATGGGAGTTTGTCAGGGATAATGTCATGGAGACTAAGCATTGCTTTTCATTATGTGGGATACAGCATAGGCTCATCAACTTGACCGAAATAAAATCGGGTTTTAGATTGTTAAATAGTTCTCTGAATCCTCCCCCAAATTCTCCACGTGTAAATCCCACCTTCCTAAAAATGACTTGCTACTATTAAAATCACCCAGGGAACTAGGTTACCTGATTCAGGAACTTCCACTAGAAAATGTAAAAACTCCAATGTGAACTTGTATGCAGAGGTGAACTTCTAATATCCAGAAGGCAACCTCCAGCTAAAGCAGTGTGCACCTACTATGTCCGAGCCATCTTCTCTTCTGTGTGCTCACCCTGTCACAACTTGCTGTTTACCCCAGGGAGTAAGCAGGAGCTTATGGTAACCAGGGAAATGGGCTTTAGTTTCCAGCCTAAAGGAAGGAAGAAGCTAGCTGTCCCCCATCAGGGGATAGATGATTAGGTTGCTGCTGTTTTCACCATTACAATATTGTAACAAAGCTTCCGTTATGTATATCGAGATGCAAATGTCCGAGTATTTCTGGGTCAAAGGAATATACGCTTTGACCTGTTACAGATGCAATGTTGTCACAGAGCCATACTGCTCTCCAAAAAGACTGGAACAATTTACACTCCAGCAATGATTTCTGGAAGTGCCTATTCATGCTGTCTTCAAGCTCTTTCATTTGTGCCCATCAGAACGGTGCAAATTGGTGTCAGGTAATTTGTATTTCCCTGATTTTTACTAGTTCACATGTTTATCAGCCCATTTTATTTCTTCTTTGGGGAACTGCCTGATCACATCCCTTGCCTACTTTTCCATCTACTGAGTTTTCTTCTCACAGGTTTATAGAGATTATTATATTTCTTTCTTCCAGCCTGCTACTTGTCTCAATTTTGTTTATGGTATCTTTTAACAGATGGAAGTTTTCGTCTGAATCTTTCAGTCTTTTCTTCTAAGGTTTCTTTGCA